CGAAGCCCTCGTTCTTGAGCTTGATGAGCAGGTTGAGCATGTCCGCCCGCTCGACGCCGTTGCGCTCGCGGTGCGTCACCATCTCGTCGACGATGCGGGTGAAGAAGGCGTGCACGTCGTAGGGGTTGCCGCGGATGCGGAACAGCTTCATGATGTTGCCGCCGAAGAAGGCCAGCAGGGCGCGGAGGTTCACGTCGAGGGAAGGCTCGAAGATACGCTGGCCCATGCGCCGGAACTCGGACTCGGGGTCCTTCATGGAGTTGGTCTCGATGCCGAACGCCACGGAGGAGATGATGTCCGTGGAGAAGCGCGCCACCAGCTCGCGCACGTCCTCCTGGTAGAGACCGCCTCCGGTCTGCAGACGCAACGTGATTCCGACGTCAGTAACAACTTCATGACATTCATGTGACCGAGTCATGACGTTTTTATGCTATTCGCCAATCAGGCTCGTAAGTGCAAGCGACACTGACAGGGGTCAGGGGTCGTGCACATACTTCGCGCCATGGAGAGGTACAAACAATATGTTCCTAAAAGGACCGGGACCATCATCAGAGTTCATAGGGATACCATGATATATTTGCATCGCGGGGAAAAAATATCATGGGGTCCCTATCGACGGTGGTTTTGGACCTGATGGGTCACCATAATCATAATATATTGGTGGAACCCCCTCCCCCGCCCCTAGAGGCTTTTGGAACCGGTTTGAACGGCCCGTAAACTACTGAGCTGGCAAACGCCCGGAAGAATGTTCAACACCGTGTCGCGCACTCTTGCCGGTGTTTGACTGGAAATTCAAGCTCTTTGAAGAGGCGGAGTGGGTTGTTGAACATTTTTGAGACAAGGCGTATAACACTTGACTGGGCTTGTCGTGTCGTACCTTGAGGGAGGTGTCCACGTGCTCGCGCAGGTAGCCCGCGCACTCGCTGATGGTGTTGAACATGTACTTGATCTTGCCCGTCGTGAAGGTCGGGCTGAGCTTGACGCGCATGTTCCTCCAGGGCTGCCCGGACAGCATGAAGAGGTGCCCGGAGAGCGGGTCGTTCTCCGGGTCCGAGTGCACGCCGCGCCCGTTGAAGTCCTGCAGCACGAGACACACTTTAGTCAGACTTAACGTTCTGCGCGGTTGATGTGCATCTTAAGGGTTGGAAAAGGCAGCACAGCGTATGACCACATAGCACCGAACGTGTTAAAATGACTGTGGCAAACAAATTGAGAAAGTAAATTAGTGCTCTTTTTTGTTGTTGTCTTATTTTGCTATGCAATTTGGGTTTGAAGTGACGACGCGATTAGAGCGTTGAGCACACGACACGAGTCAAGATTTCTTTTATCTTTTTTTTTATTTGTTTGCACTCTCTCCCCCCATCTCGCCTTTCACCCCACCGTCCCTGTGAATCTCTTGGAGAGTAGGGCTTAGCAACCTCGAGAACCACTCAGAAACGGTCGCGCCAGAGAGAGGGAGAGAGAG